ACAAATCAATTGGGTCTCAAACTCCAATAAGGAGATATACCCCAACAATTCTCCCCCTATCGACTTAGGTGAAGACCTCAACCATAACCGCCAAAGTTCGGCACTTTAAATGTTTGTCCCTCGACAAAGTCTTAGTTAACATATCCAAAATATTATCATCTATGTGAACCTTTTCAAGTTGCAACAATTTCGAATCTAACACATCACGCATCCAGTGGTATCTCACATCAATGTGTTTCGATCTCGAATGAAAAGTAGAATTTTTACTCAAGTGAATCGCACTTTGACTATCACGATAAAGCACATACTTTTCTTGCTTCAAACCCAACTCTTACAAAAATTTCTTCAACCGTAACTCTTCTTTGTAAGCTTCCGTAATGGCAATAAATTCAGCTTCGGTTGGCTTAACATGACCTAGGCTTGGCATGACCTAGGCTTGGCATGACCTAGGCTTAACATGACCTAGGCTTGGCATGACCTAGGCTTGACATAGCAAGGAAGGAACAAAACATGTATACAACACTTAGGCAAATCTCATAAGCACAAAACAAGACAGGCACCTTTACTTAGGCAAAACAAGTCAAAGTCTGCAAATGCAAGCTTAACAAGACAAAATCACGCAATGTACATGAACATGACTAAGACATGAACGTGGGTTATTACAATTTGGCCTTGTACAAACCATGGTGTACATCAAAGAACCAACTGCTGAAGCATAAGGAACTTTCAACATCTCTTCTTTGTCTTTCTCACTTGTATGACATTGATTCGAACTAAGCTTGAAGTGACCCGCAAATAGACAACCAACTGGCTTTGCTTTATCCATGTTGAACCTCTCAAGAACTTTCTCAATTTAGCTTTCTTGAGACAACCAAATCAGCCATTTTTTGCGATCACGAACAATTTTCATACCAAGTATTTGCTTTGCCGGTCCCAAATCTTTCATAGCAAAAGACTTACTCAACTCTAATTTCAAACTGTTAATCATGGTAGAATCTTGACTCACAATTAACATGTCATCAACATAAAGCAAAAGAATAATAAATTTACCATCCAGGAAATTTTTCACAAACACACAATGGTCCGAAGTGGTTTTAGAAAAACCATTATTCATCATGAAAGAGTCAAATTTTTTGTACCATTGCCGCGGGGCTTGCTTGAGGCCATACAAACTTTTCTTCAATTTGCAAACAAATTTCTTTTTCCATTTTTTCACAAAACCTTCCGGTTGCTTCATGTAAATTTCTTCTTCAAGATCACCATGAAGAAATGCAGTCTTTATATCAAGTTGTTCAACTTCAAGGTTCATACTTGCAGCCATGCCAAGTACAACCCGAATAGAAGACATCTTCACAGCCGGCAAGAAAATCTCATCAAAGTCAATACCTTTCTTTTGCCCAAAGCCTTTCACAACAAGACGTGCCTTGTACCTCAGGTTCTTGCCATCATTCTTCAATTTGAAGACCTACTTATTTTTCAAAATTTTCCTCTCCTTAGGCAACTTCACTAAATTATAGGTGTGATTTTCAAATAAGGAATTCATCTCCTCTTCCATAACCTTTTTCTGATCACCTTTCTTTGCATGCTCAATTGCTTTTTGGTAGCTCTCAGGCTCCCCTTGATCGGATATCAATACAAATTCATTGAGAGGATACTTTCTCGAAGGTTGTCGGTCCCTTATAGATTTTCTCAACTCAAGTTGTGGTGGCGGTTCTTGAGTTGGATGCTCTTCCTCAATTTCAGGCTCAACTTTATTAGGATTAGCATCATCTTCCACATCTTCAATAGGTGGCTGCACATCTCCCCTAATTTCATATCAACTAAAGATGAAGGAGATGGATCCATGTCAATGAGAGCACTAGTTTTTGGCTCTGGTTGATCACCTTTGCCAAAGTCTTCAATTGTTTGGTCTTCAAGAAAAACAACATCACGGCTTCGAATGACTTTCTTGTCGACCAGATCCCACAATCTATACCTGAATTCATCATACCCATAGCCAACAAAAATACATTGTCTTGACTTGCTATCAAGCTTGGACCTCTCATCTTTTGGAATGTGAACAAAGGCTCGGCAACTAAACACTCTCAAGTGCTCATAAGACACATCTTTACCGGTCCAAACTCTTTCTGGAACATCACTATTTAAAAGATAAAAAAGAGACAAATTGATCACGTCAACTGCTGCCCTCATTGTCTCATCCCAAAAAGATCTTGGCAATTTAGCTTGTGAAAGCAAACACCTTGTTCTTTCCACAATGGTGCGGTTCATCCTCTCGGTAACGCCATTATGTTGAGGAGTCTTCTTAACTGTCTTTTGGTACCGAATGCCTTGGCTGCGACAATACTCATCAAATGGCCCAATGTATTCACCACCATTGTCTGATCTGACGCACTTCAATTTCTGCCCTGTTTCTCTTTCAACCGTGGCCTAAAAATGCTTAAATACTTCCAGAACTTGGTCTTTAGTTTTTAATAGAAAAGCCCAAACTTTCCTTGAATAATCATCAATGAAAGTAACAAAATAAAGTGCACCATTATGTGTTCTAAATTTTAAAGGACCACAAACATCCAAATGAATCAACTCCAAAACATTTTCTTTTCTAGAAGCAACATTTTTATAAAAAGAAACTTTATGTTGTTTACCCGCCAAACAATGAACACAAGTTTTGAGATGTGTACCTTTCAAATCAGGTAGAAGCTCTTTCTTGAAAAAAACTTGTAGCCCTTTTCACTCATATGGCCAAGCCGCTTGTGCCACAATTCGGCAGAAGTATCATCTTTAAGTGCATTGACAACACCTTTACAAATTTTTCCTTGCATCAAATAAAGTGTATGAGTCTTCTTGCACTTAGCCACCACCAAAGAACCCTTTGTGAGCTTCCATATTCCATCACCAAATTTGTTGTTGAAGCCTTCATCATCTAGCTTCCCAGTAGAGATCAAATTAAGACGAATGTCGGGAACATGCCTCACATCTTCACCACACTGAATGCAACCAAACATGGCATGAATTAAGCGACCAAAACAGAGATATGACATGCTAAAATGAGCCCCAAAACCCACCTAGATGGCATCTAAATGGCCTACATTTTCTAGAAGCAACATTTTTATGAAAAGAAACTCTATGTTGTTTACCCGCCAAACAATGAACACAAGTTTTGAGATGTGTACCTTTAAAATCGGGTAGAAGCTCTTTCTTGAACAAAACTTGCAGCCCCTTTTCACTTATATGGCCAAGCCGCTTGTGCCACAATTCGGCAGAAGTATCATCTTTAAGTGCATTGACAACACCTTTACAAATTTTTCCTTGCATCAAATAAAGTGTATGAGTCTTCTTGCACTTAGCCACCACCAAAGAACCCTTTGTGAGCTTCCATATTCCATCACCAAATTTGTTGTTGAAGCCTTCATCATCTAGCTTCCCAGTAGAGATCAAATTAAGGCGAATGTCGGGAACATGCCTCACATCTTTAAGCAACAACTTGCAGCCCAAATTTGTTTCTAAGCAAATATCACCCATGCCGATAATCTTGGACAAACCTTCATTACCCATTCGAACAGAACCATAATCTCCTTTGGTATAGGTAGTGAAGAAATCAACTCGAGAAAAGAAGCACCAGAATCAATCACCCAATTGCTCTCTTGGCCCACAAAATTGATACAATCATCTTCACAAACGACTATGAGATCACCATTGGTAGTAACTGCTGTTGTGTCTTCTTGCTTCTTATCCACACTTTTATCATGCCTTTTCTCCTTGTTCCTTTTCAAAAGATGGTTCCTTTTCAAAGAAAGACATTGAGTGCTATATTTTCATAGAAGCAAGTTGGTTAACAATACTCTTTATTTCATTCAGATGTTCTGGAATAGGGCTGCCCTCTTTATATTTTAAATTAACCAACTTACAAAACATAAAAGCTTTATTTGTGGATGATTTCCTATCATAAAGGCCTTCTAATTTTTTTCCATAAATCATGTGCCAAAGTTTCAATAGCAACATGATGAAACACACTGTCATCAATCCATTGACGGATAACACCAACGGCTTTTCAATTAAGCCTATTCTATTTATCATCTTTCATACCCTCGATAATCACCCTCAATGGGTCCATACAAATCTTTACAAAATAATAGGTCCTCCATTTTAGTTTTCTAAGTTACCCAATTGCTTCCATTGAAGCTAGACATACGACCCACATTCCCCTCCATGGATTTACACAAATAAATAAACCCAAATAAACCGTAAGCTCTGATACCAGTTGTTAAGGAAAATATATGATCCCCCACCAGTAAATCAATCAATGGGAATAAAAACTAATGCGGAAAAATTAAATCAAAAGCAATACAAGAATTTTTACGTGGTTCACTTAACGTGAGGTACGTCCACGAGATTGAAATCCGATTCTACTATCAACCAAAAAGTTTTCAAACGATTACAAACGAGACACGAATGGTCTCACAAAACTACCCTTCGATGAATTCCAAATAATCACAAATAAACAAGAGGAAAAACCTTACCAGATAGATGAACAAAAGTCTTTGAAACCAGAGTTGAAGAAGACCCAAAATAATAACCCAAATTATCTTCGAAATAGAGACCGTAGCAGTATTAAATCACATACAAAGAAACCACCGAATTTGATCTGACACTATTGCTTCTCCACACAGCCAAAGCCACCAAATTGTATCAAATCTATTGTATTAAGCCACTGCCGCCACACACCAAAACACACAAAACAATATATATATATATATATATATATATATTGTTAAATCTTGAGTTTGTTTTACCAAACCCTAGTTGTTACCAAACTGAATTGGGTCTCCACAAATTAGATATAATATATAAAATATATTATACCTAAACCAAACCAAATTAAAATTCTTTTAACAAACCAATTGGGTCTCAAACTCCAATAAGGAGATATATCCCAACATGAACAAGAACAAAGGATTAGAGGTGCTATTCACACAGTATTTGTGGATGATCTACCAAAATCTATGGATCCAAAAGGGTGGTATGCACTATTTACTAAGTTTGAGGTTGTGAGGGATATGTTCATTCCAAACAAAAGGAGGAAGATGCCGCGATCAAGATTTGGATTTGTACATTATAGTTGTCCAGTGGAAGCAAGAATGGCAGTTCAGAAAGCAAATGGACTATGGTGTGACAACAGAACATTGAAGGTAAAAGTAGTAGAGTTTGTTAAAGGTAAGGAAGTTAGACAGGGGCCATCAGAGATATTAGTTGATAGGAGAGGTGTAGGTAGTACTAGTTGGGCTCCTGTTGCGGTACAAGGAAGAAAGTCATATGCCCAAGCTGTGAGTAGAAGAGGACTAGCAGCCAATACAAGTATAACCACAAGTGGCAGCAAAATTTTGAAGGGTTGTGTGATTCTATGAAGCTTAGGATTGCAATGTGGGTCAAAACCTCAAGGCTCTCCTTGAAGTACTCAATGAGTGATTATTTATAATTTACAACAAGTTAAACTTTGCATATAGGGTGTTAGTTGAATTGCTGTTGGGTGTGGTTGCTGCTAGTTTGAATTTTGGATGTGGTCTATTGTCGTGTGTAGTAGCTGATGTTTATTCATTTATCTTGTTATGTTGTTTGTTGTGTGACTGCCTCATGCCCCTTTTTCAAGTACTTAGGCTCCGTTTGGGGACTTACCTTTTTAGCCAAAAAGCCAAAAAGTTTCCTTTTTAGCCAAAAAGCCAACAACTCATACCAAAAAGTCAAAGATTCTCTTTTCTCTCTACTTTTTGCACTTACCTTTTTAGCCAAAAAGTCAAAAAGTTTCTTTTTTAGCCAAAAAGCCAACAACACATACCAAAAAGTCAAAGATTCTCTTTTTTCTCTACTTTTTGCACGTCTTTTCGTAATTAGCCAAAAAGTCATCCCAAACATATAAGTTTTTTTTACCTACTTTTTTAGTCAAATAGCTAAAAAGTTACTAAATTAGCCTGTTTCCAAACGAGGCCTTAGTGAGTGTCATTATGTATAAGCTACAAAAGTTAAACTCTGCATATAGGTGTGGCTGCTACTACTTTGAATATTGGGTGTGGCCTGTTTATTGTGTGGCTACTGCTACTTTATTCCTCTGCTTTGTTCAGCTAGTGTTGGTTCCTCACCAACATTGTGCTTTGTCTATATTTCTTTCTTTCTTCTTTCTTCTTTATTGATATAATCTCATGTGAAATGTATGTTTTCTTCATCAATAAAGATTTTGTTTTACTGGAAAAAAAAAGTATGTAATAAATTAAAAATTGACACATATTCTACTATATCATTGTAAAGAGAATTATGAATACCTTTTGAGCATCTCAAATATTTTTCATTTTTTTCCCTCTACATCTCTCGCTTTGTGTTCTCTATGTCTACTGAATAGATGCAAGCCCTTAGATGTTGTTTTAGACACGTGTGCGGTGGATAAAATTTGCCTGGAGGTGTATGGACTAAAAAAGTATGGAGATGAACAACTCCCGACATTATTAGATATTAATGATACAAGAATCATAATTTAAGGACTAAATATATAATTAACCCCATTATTAAATAACCAAAGGAAATGTGCATCATATACATTAAGGAATTGTGGTTATTATTTTAGTTATGATTAAAAATGTCTTTGGTTACGTCTCAGGTAATATTGGGTTATGACTCGTTTTGGTATTAATTATGACTCATTATAATGTTAGTTATTATCCATTGTAGTTATTATTTTAGTTATAACTGGAAAAAAAAAATTTGGTTATACCTCAAGTCATATTTGATTATAAATCATTATGTTTGTTTTAGTTATACAATTGAAAGTGATTTAGTTATGGTATTTATGTATCAATACCACAAATTATCATATATATAGTTTTTTTTTTCTTTGGATCAGAAAAAGAAAATTTTATTGATAATAATCAAAACAAAGGATTACACATCAATAAAAAATCAAAGGGAACAAAATTGCCTCATAATTGAAACATGAACATCACAGAAATTAATAAAACAATAGTGTAACATAGAAGGACCTAGTTAGTAATTTTTTGGGGGTTTGGCTTCTTTTAAATTACCATATCAACTTCAAAGAATGTTTAGGGTTAGTAGGCCCATTTTAGAACCGATTTTGGTGATTTGAAGAGTTCATTTTTTAGGTTTCATAAAGTACAATATTCTTATAAAAAATAAATATGATTGAATATCAGTAATTATATGTATGAATCATATTTTTTAAAAAAAAAATAGACAACAAATATAATTTTAAGAATAGTCATTTATTTTTTAAAATATAAATTTGATTCCAACATATAGTTACTGATGTTTGATTATTTTGATTTGTTGCATAAATATTTTACTCAACGAGTCCTAAAAGGTGAATGATTTTGATCATTGAAATCATTCTTAAAATCGGCTTAGCAAACCCAAATACTCCCTTAAGTTGAGATAGCCAATATGAGAAAATTTTAACCTTTTTTTTATTCATTAACAAGAGGAACTTTATTGATTAAATAAGAGTACATAAATAACTGATACAAATATCAATAAAAAGAGGAGTGTACAAACACCAACAAATATAAATGACTGGTACAAAAATCAACAAACATCAATGACTTTATCTCCTCTTTGGAGCGGAGTGTAAAGTAGGTGGCTTATTTAGCTTCTACATTTCTTGATTTTTGCAGATGATTTTAGTCCTTTGAGTTGTGTTGCGATTCGTTTGGTGGATTTATTTGGCATCAAAGAGTTGCATTTGCTTTAGCTTCTTTTATGTTAGCCCTTTGACTCTTGCTTTTCTCGTCTTTGTTGTTTGTACTTTAATTTTGTTGTCGGTTGCTCACCAACAAATAGGTTGTTTTCTTTTGTATTTGCACATGATTTTGCTACAAGCTTATGTGTCAAACTAGTTGAGATATGTTCTCCAAACTATGATGTAGCTTCAACACCTCGATTTTGCTTTTGCAAATTACAGTAATAAAATGTTCATTCGTCGATAAAGAAAGAGGTTTATTAATACCTTAATTTGGATCTTAGATTCACTAATGATAGATAATTTTGTTGTTTCCCTCTTCAAACTATGGATGGCAATAGATCAAATTTTTCGGATTTTGCGTGTAAATTTTTTTAAAATCAATTATTTTAGTAACACAATTTCATATTTTACTATAAACTTAACAGTTTTAACCTATCTACCACTAAACTTTACCCTACCCAATTAATGCTATCTTAAACCATTTATATTAAAGTCAAGTCAAAACAAATAAAATTGAGTCGGGAAATTTTGCAATCCATACATCAAACTTTAAAATAAAAATAATAAAAAAAATCATTTTTAATTGAGTCGGGAAAATTTTTTTATTTTTTTTTTCTCTTGTTGTCTAAGTGTAAAGAATTAAAAATGATTTTATTTATTTATTATTATTTTTTTCATATTGCGAATCCCACTCCAAATGGAAATACCATGGTTATACAGGGAGATTACCCTCCATCTACTCATGTAGTAATAATTTGATGATCTTGGAGTAATATTTCACACCATTTATGTTTTAATTTGACACTTGGCTAGTTATTTCTAAGAAAATAATATAAGAGTGATAAATTCATCTATTTAAATCAATAAAAATCAAATTAGAACACTCATGTGTGAATCTACACTCATTATGAACACATATCTTCACCAAACATATGAAACAAACCAATAGGCAAAGAACAAATTAAACCTGAAATAATTAGGAAAAGTTTACAATTATTAATTCAACTGAATATGGAAACCTAAATGTTGGTATCTGGAAACTAAATTATTGATGCCTAGAACACAGAAATAAGAGAATTTTTAAAAGATTCGTGACATGGATTTCTTTTGCTTGGCTCAATTGAAAACCCTACAATTCTTTCTAATTTCCCCGGCATTTCCAACAAGAACTTCAATTCCCCCCATCTTCACTATCGCCTTTGCGAAACCTTTTTGGAAACCAATCGCATTGCTTGCAAAACCCGTCACAATAGGAGCACTAGCTTTATCCAAGGCAAGTTCTTGATCAATCTGCATCACACCTCTCTTCAACTTAATTTGATGGTAGTACTCGTTATCAAATATGAAAGATGTGTTTTGATCCAAAAATGCAGTTGGGTCCTGACTCAACGGCCTCGATTGTGTCCCACAAAGTTGGAATAACTTAGAAACTAGGGTTGGGTCCATTGTCGGGTCAGGTTTCCCAGATCCTTGGAAGTTCGAAAGTCGATCTTGAAAAAAACCACAGTGAGCAACACCAACAGTGTGTGCACCCAAAAGGGTGACCATGTCATTGAGAGTGAGTTTTTTGGCTGTGAAGAATTTGAGTGCCTGTGAGACAGAAAGGGATGGGCCTGGCAAGTTCACGAGGTTTGGGTTGGAGACCAAACCATCTCGTCTTCCAGTTGGGACAATGTAGTTGGGCCCACCGGCAAGGGCCACCGAGTCTCGGGTTGCCAGAGTTATGATGTCGGCACAAGAGACTGTTCTGGGACATGCGGCTTCAAGGTTTGACTTGGCCTCATCGATGAGGTCGAATCCTCGGACAGACTGGTTCGGAAAGGCATCTTTTTCCGATTGCGTAGTCTGTGTTGAGTCAATGAGTATGGATGCATCACAACCCTATGAACAATTTTAACCAGACAAAAGAATTAGAGCTTTGTAATCATGCATAAATGTGTAATTCTTTTAAAATGAAACAAAAGGAAACTTGGTCGTAAGATTATTTTACTTGTATTTGACCAAACTTGATTCTAATAGAAAATATTTTGGAGATAGGGTAAGGCCGAGTACAAGAGTAGGTAGGTCAAAATTAGTGTAAAGTTTGAAATTATGTGACTAAGATAATTGAGTATAAAGTTAAGAACTCACGCACAAAATTTGAAAATCCCGACCCATTGCCATCCTAGATTTAAAGTTTGATATTGTTGAAAATATAAGTCGTCTTGATGTTTTGTTTTTTTGATGTTTTCTTATTTTTGAAATTTTTTTAAGGTAATAAAATCATGAAAAATGATATGCTTATGAAAAATTTATACATAATTTATAACAAGTATAATGTGACAATAACATTGGTAAAACAACACAACCACAAAGAGCCAAATCATTCTCTATAAAATTGTTGTACATTAATTATATTTGTATTTTGTATATCATTACTCTATAGTCAAAACTTGTTATATCATTCTGTTTTAATTTTGTATTTGTATAACAGTATAAATTTGTCATTAATATCAACAGCTATATTTTGGGTTCTAGCATAGGAATCCTAACATCAATGCACCCCGGTTCTCCGATAAGAATGAAAATCAATGCGAATTGACCCGGCCACTATATGTATCAGTTCGTAACTGATATAGCTGCTCACCGCCAACACCATTGATTGAGATGTTATAATACTAT